TAAACACAGCCTGGCCTCTTCGCGATTTTTGAGAAAGAGCGCCCCCCACACAACAGCGCCGTTCAGTCACAGCCACTGCGTAATCCCACCGCACAGTCCACGGACAGTAGCGCATCTGGCCTAACCTTTTACGCCATGCCCCGGCTCTGCCCCTGTCGCAGCCAGAATGCTTGCCTCACTCGCTGATCTGTGGTGCGCCAGGCGCGATGGAAGGATAATACGCATGAATTGCTCTCCGAGCAGCTCGTCAACGCTCGTTATTTATGCATTTGACGCTGTTGGAAATTGTTGCTGCATGATACTTAATTCCTGATGATGCATTAAGGGAAGGCGAACATTTTTTTATCTTCTGGTAGTTCGTTCACATGGCAGATTCAATGAATGCATCATACCCTGCTTTGCAAGGCCCATGTACAGCCATCGCACATCATTCTATCAGGATCACGTTTATTTGTTAGAAATAATATACATTTAAGATTTTTCTGGATTTTCAGCTGCGTTTTATTATGCCAATTGTGCTTTTTCTTTGTCCGAGTTCAGCGAGAAAAGCAATCATCTCTACATTCAATATTAAGGCTCCCTGCTGTTTCGAGTTCTCATGGTAGTTACCATTCGCACTGAAATTGATGAAGTTTGAAATCGTTAATGTTTTAGAATCCTTTCGCAAAAACATTAATTAAAGAACATGGATCACCTGTACGACTTCTCTCGGCTCATTTCAGAAACCGGAATTCATATGAACATCGATAGATAATTGTTCGCGTGAGTAAAAATGCAGTGAAAACTATTTATGCGCATGATTTAGAAATTGCGGTTGTTCAGACAGTTTTGCACGCAAATTATTTACCAATAAAAATATCCTTGCGGCTCGGAACCAATTAACTCATCACTATTGGCCAGTCTCATATCTATACGTAGTTTGCTAATCGATGTTACAATTTCTCGCGCTACTTATAGAACACTTTGCCTACTTTTAAAGTAATCAGGTGCTCGCTCTTGTTAACAATGCCTGTACAAAATACCGCCTCCTGGAATACAAGAAAATACATCGGACTGCAAGAGAGAAATTTTTTCCCCGAATTAATTCCCGCTGATTTGCACGCACAGTATTTAATTAATCAAATAATCATATTTTTTCCTCATACTGAGACCATTTCAATGAAATATTCCGGAGCCCAATGTACGGAGCCCCTCATTCACAATACAATTAGCTCAAAGTGGCAAAAACTATCCAGACAAGTTCTCAAGTCATTCATGTTCATTCATGAGATATGAGTAAAGGACCAATTAGCCTTAAGTGCCGCACCTCTCGTATAATCAATTATTAATCGAATATCAGTGTGTAAGTCAGACAAAGTAACAGACGATGAAAGTTTATTGAGTTAGTGGAAATGCCCGGAGCCGTCTTTGCCCTTTTTACAATACTTCCCTTTAACTTCACTTCTTGTTGTTTGTTTGTTTGTCTGTCGACTGTCTGTCTGCCACAAATCTTAGAATAGAATAGAATAGAAGCGTCGGCGTTGAAGAAATAGGCCTATGGCCTGTTGCCGATTCTTGAACTTTTCGTGACTTGATTCACAAGGGATCCGGCCTTTTTTGTGTCGTCAGCATACATCGAGCAAACGCTAGACACAGCTTCTGGCAGATCGTTTATAAACGCAACGAATAGAATAGGCCCGAGAACGCTTCCTTGTGGCACGCCGCTGCGCACTGAAGCCCAGTCTGATACGGACCCATTAATACTGACACGTTGTCGCCTCTCTACTAGAAAATCTCTGATCCATTTGAGTACATTACTCTCAATTCCCAAAGACTTCAATTTGCACAACAACCGCTCATGTGGGACACTGTCAAATGCCTTGGCAAAATCGAGGTACACTGCATCTACTGGCTCCCTTTCGTCCAGAAAGCGGGTCCATTCGTTCAGAGTCGACAAGAGGTTAGACGTGGTGCAGGATCTCCCGGCAATAAAGCCATGTTGACAGTCTGATAGGAGATTATTAGCAGTCAAATGATCTATCAATCGATCCCTCACAACAGATTCCATTACCTTGCAAACGACACTTGTCAAACTGACAGGGCGATAGTTGCCCGGGCAGCTTTTGTCACCTTTTTTGAACAATGGTGTCACTTGAGCTTCTTTCCAGTCAACCGGCAACATTCCTTCGTTCAAAGTTTTTCGAAAAAGTGACGTCAGAGGGCCGGCTAGGACAATTGCTAACTCTTTGAGTAATCTGGGGTGGAAGCCGTCTGGTCCACATGACTTGTTTGGATTTACAGCGATAAGGCGCTTGAGAACCTCTTCTTCTTGTATTTCAAAGCTTGTTGATTTAGAGCCGACTGGGCCTGAAATCTTATAGACCCAATCGAAATTTAACACACTTCTACTGAAATTTTGCACACTTGCGTGAAGTTGGAGACAATGCATAAATCGGTGTAGGCCACCATCAGAGGCGTTAAGGTCGGGGCCCTGATCATTGACATGAAACCATTCCCTGTTTTTAATTAATGAAATTAATTCCCTTTTTGTTGGAATGGCGAGTGTGGGAGGCGTTCTATGCATGAATCGAATGACAATATAAATTATTTTAAAATTTAATTTTTTTGATATTAAAAAACATGAAAAAGTAATTTTGTAAGCTAGAAATCTTATAGGTATAACTGATATTTGACTCACTTTTACCTGTCCAATTGATCTGAAATTTCGCACACTTGTGTGAAGTCGGAGGCAATGCATGAATCAATTGACATAATAAACAATTTTTTATATATTAAAAAATTGAAAAATTAATTTTTTTAATATTCGAAAATAAAATGAGAAATTCATTGTACATCTGTAACTTTGGAGACACTGGATTCTTCAGAAGAGTTGTCTTTAGAAAGTAATTTTTAAACGTATATTATTTACAACACTTCTTTTAACCTTTTTGCGGGTAAGTTACCATATATGGTAATTAAAATGGGAGTAAAAAAGGCTCCCCACATCACCCACATTGCTTGGGGCAGCCTGCCAACAAGCTTCAACCAATCACAGATCGTGTACAAGTCAAGTTACGTCATAATAATAATAATAATAATAATAGCGGTTTCAGCGTTATTAGGCCGTAGGCCTGTCGCCGATTCTTAACATCGCAGAACACTCACAGTATTTTGCGGTCTCGAACTCGCAACTCACTGCTGCAATTCTGCTGTGCTTAACCGCCCGGCCTCCTTGCCGATTCTGACCAGAAACTGGCGCACAGAGCTGGGATCGAACCCGCGCCTCTCTGCGCCAATCTTGGTACTCTGAACTGTAACCACTGGGCCACCCTGCCCATGTATGACGTAGCGCTCTGACGCGCTCTTACGTCTGTGTGAGCTGAATTAAAAACTAAGTACTCTGGAGAGTACTCTTCTACTGGTTGGTCTAGTTATGCATGCAGTACCATGATGTAATGATGCTACTCTGCACGTTGCTGCAAAGAGGCATGTTGCCCCATCTTGCATGTGATGAGCCTGCGTGTCTTTGAAGGCGCGTTTTTTTTTACATTCTGAAGCATGTGACAAGTGTCCGGTGCTTGTTGACGACACTTTCCTGCCTAGAGCGCTCTGGCTTGTGGCTGGGCCCAAGCTTCCTCCTTTTGCCCCCAACTAATGACTGAGATCAGGCTGGGCAGTGCATTAGCACTCGAAGCCTTCAAATTCAAATCATCATCATCTGGAGAAATGGCAAAACGGCATTTCGGGCAGTTCAGTAGTTAAACCGTAAGAGGTCGTTTTGCGCTAAGCACTATTGGCGAGTGCTAAATGTTGTGGTCGAGTGCGGAGTGATTATTTAAAGTGAATAAGTAATTGATTCACGTTATTTCATCACTCCGCACTCTCTAGGTAGAATATTTTCTGAGATATAAGCGTTGAAGTAGTTAAACCGTAAGAGGTCGTTTTGCGCTAAGCACTATTGGCGAGTGCTAAATGTTGTGGTCGAGTGCGGAGTGATTATTTACAGTGAATAAGTAATTGATTTAACTTATTTCATCACTTCGCACTCTCTGGATTGAATATTTTTGAGATATAAGCGTTGAAGTAGTTAAACCGTAAAGGGTAGTTTTGCGCTAAGCACTATTGGCGAGTGCTAAATGTTGTGGTCGAGTGCGTAGTGATTATTTACAGTGAATAAGTAATTGATTCATGTTATTTCATCACTCCGCACTCTCTGGGTTGAATATTTTCTGAGATATAAGCGTTGAAGTAGTTAAACCGAAAGAGTCGAGTGCGGAGTTTTACTGATAGTGCTGTGTGGTGGTTTAAATTAAAATATAATTGATTGATTTCCGCCTTGTTTATATAAGATGCTTCTATAGTCGTAAGATTCGACTGTTCAAACCAAGATAAGGTAATAAGTTTAAATGTATGAACATGAGTATAGTGCCGTTTTAAGCATATGTTATTTGTCAGATTTTTCAATTTTTTTGATTTGTAGAACACAAAAAGGAGATATGCGTAGTTTGAGTGCTTAATTTTTCAAAATAGGAAAATGAAAAACGTTACATTACTTCTTGGCAAATTCGCGGAATTCGTTCAGCCGCGGCGTTCCATCGATCAATCGTTCGCCACTTCAGCGACTTGAGCGTCTTCAGCTTTTAAGTGTTAGGGAAAGAGTCAGTTGCGTTGGAAGCGAAAGCACGTGTTTGAAGAGCGTTCCGTGAAATAACCGGTTAATTTTGCAGTTCAAGTCCTTACATCACGTAAAGTTATAAAATCTTTGTGTAATCAACCATAAATTAATTTTCTTTTCTTTAGAAAAACCCAACTGGCTTTCTCCCACAAAGGTTTGCCATTTTTTTTTTGTAGCCTAGTTATTTACTATTTTTATTTGTTTTATTTATTTATTATTATTTTTCTAATATTCATTTCTAAATCTTTTTATTTCTCTTATTTCTTTTTCCTCTCTTTTCATTGTTGTTATACTTATTGCATTTAAAAGTGCCACTCCAAATGGGCAGATTCCTAGACGCTTCCTGCTATGGCAGATGCGACAGGGGGTACTGACTAAAACCCGGACCCGGACCGGTCTGCCCGGCGCCGGACCTGGACCGAGTGACTAAAACCTGGACCTGGACCAGTCCGGCGGACCAGGTTATAAAAAAATAAAAGGCTGCAAATCATCTGAAACGTTGAGAAAACTTTTAATTTCACATATAAAATTTTTTATTTACTTAGAAAAATTTTGTTGCACCAACATATTCGGGTCACAGAAAAGTTCACTTCTTGATCGAACTAGTCAATAGAGAATCTTCTGAAACGTCCAGAAAACATAAAAATGTGGTATCGAATTTTCGAAAATTTACTTGGAAAAATTTCACTTCAGGTCCGGGGAGCCCCGGACCAAGTGACTAAAATCTGGACCCGGACCCATATATTCGAGTCACAGAAAAGTTCACTTCTCGATCAAACTAATCGATAGAGAATCTTCTGAAACGTCCAGAAAACAAAACTTTTGTATCGAATTTTTGACCATGTACTATGCGTGCCTGGTGCCTTGTAATGCTTGTATGTGTGCCTACTGCCTGCGCCCTGCATTAACTGTGAATGTAACGAATCGGTACCTCAAAATGTGCATCTGTTTTCAGACCGCAGAGATAATCTCTATCAGTAGAATAAACTATAAAAATATTAGCGGTTTTATTTGTCAGTAGATTTAGTACTAGAAGCACGCCAGCACGGTAGATTGTGCACCAGAGCAAAGAGTTCAGCTCGTGATAGTTGCTGACTTGGAATGAGAGTTCATGGAATGAGAGGAAAAATTAGGCCCATGATCAGTCAAAAGCAGCCAAACTTATCTTAATTAATTGACTTAGTCGAAAGATTTGAACAAGAAAATACTTATTCAGATTAATTACCTATTCTTCACTAGTCGGGGTTGAGTTTTAGCCGCTCGGTCACATGGGTCCGGGTTTTAGTCACTTGGTCCGGCCCCGTCCGGGGCTCCCCGGACCTGAAGCGAAATTTTTCTAAGTAAATTTTCGAAAATTCGATACCAACTTTTTATGTTTTCTAGACGTTTAAGAAGATTCTCTATCGATTAGTTCGATCAAGAAGTGAACTTTTCTGTGACCTGAATATATGGGTCCAGGTTTTAGCAGGCATGGAATATATCTACTTGGTGAGCCGCGACTGGATTTTCGGAGCCGTGAGTTAGCCCATTTGCGAACCGTGAAAACATACTTCTCGCACGTGAGTCCCTAATTGCAGCCGTTAAATTACGTTTGCCAAAAATGTCAAATTTTTTAATAATCTAAATCAACAGGAACGCGATATAGTTCATGTTGCTCTGCGTTACCTGCAGGCTGCAGCGTACTAAGAATACCATGTCTTTGGAAAAGTCATTTGCCTATATGACATAATTAACTAAATTAATGCAACGAAAGTTACGTTGATGTAATGAAAGTTACGAACATTGAGATTTAAGTCAAGTTATGGCCAGCAAAACACCATATTTAGGCATATAAGCGTAAAAATATGAATAATAATAGCGAGAAAACCCAGGGAGTGCATATAATCCCTTAGGTGCTGTGAAAGAAAACTGCACCTTCTTGGGGTCAAACAGCAGAACTGGGATTATGTGGGATAACACTTGCAACATGCAACTATTATGTCGGGACTAAACTGTCAAAATGAGAAAACATCGTAGAACAGTCGTACGCCGGCGGCCGGCAAAGGACTAAAACTTAAAAGCTTCAACAGAATGACCTCAAATGATTTATTTGCGGATAAATTTTTTCATTAATTCTAGCTCCGAGAAATCCGTAACGTATAATGCCATTGAAGAATCATAGTCATCCTCGTTTATGGATTAAAAATTCTTACATGGAAAAGAAAATTAAGTATGCCACGAACTTTACTTGAAATCGAGCTGTACTTAAACGCTTTACTTGAAATCATCAGCACTCAACAGAAATTCGTACTTGACTGGCTCGTTTTTGAGCCGGCGTAAAACCTTGCTCACTTCTGAGAACTGAGATTTGTTTTTGGTGTCCGTATGAATTGAGGGGGGGCTTGGAGGAATTCCAAGAAGATAATTTCCTTCCAGTAGTAAAGTGGCGACCGTCTCCATGGTTGCAGGACACCTATATGGCGCAGGATAGCACCAATCAATTATACTTCTTGCCTCCAACGTCTCATTTGACATGTTACCTCCCTTCTGCTGGGTGTCCACAACGGAGTAGAACGATTCAACCACGGCTTCACACCCACCCATGGACACAGCCACATCCAGAGCAGTACAGAGTTCCTGCCCAACCTTCTCAAACACCTGCAAAACACTTTTAGTTAGTTTCAGTGCGAATGATTTATAGAGCACTTATTTACTTAGTAAACGTAAATCCTCAGCATGTAAAATGGCTGAGGAGTTACGTGTTACGGAGGAGGAGTTACGTGTAAATTAAACAGTGTTTCGCATTTCTATACTTTACAAATAACATTCTACACGAACATATATTGTTGATGTATTGGATTTGGCAGAAGTTAGCGACAACGATTTCCCACATTTGATACATGCTTTGCGCATCAATCATCCCCAGCGACTGAGTGTGCACTACGTACTGAAATAAATTATGCAGCAAATCTTAAAGTTGTACTGTTGTCGAGTACCGTTGTAAATCAGTGTTTGAGTAGGGCGTATATTCAATGTAAGATGTAATAAAGCGACCAGCTTCGAATTTTACTTCAAGCCAACTAGTGGCCAGAACAGAACTCGCTATTACTAGCATTAGAAAAATATTTTATGAAACTATTTGCTTTTAGAGCATATGTTTTTTTTAATTAGCCTGCGCTGATGGTTACAGTTCAGAGTAGTACCATGATTGGCGCAGAGAGGTGCTGGTTCGCAGCTCTGTGCACCAGTTTCTGGTCAGAATTGGCATGGAGGCTGGGCGCAGAGCAGAATTGTAGCAGTGAGTTGCGAGTTCGAGACCGCAAAATACTGTGAATGTTCTGCGATGTTACGAATCGGTGACAGGCCTACGGCCTTCTAAACGCTGAAACCGCTATTATTATTATTTAAAAAACAAGATTTCAAGATCATAAGACGCAAATTCAGGTTATTCCTTCAAGTCACCGAGGCTTGTTTAGTCTAAAGCTTCAAATTTAGAGAAAATATGTGACAATAAACAGAACTCAGCATCAATTGTTCGCCTTTTCACATTGATAGTATCTTCTTTACTTCAATCAAATCAAATCTGAGGCTGATTGAATAAAAACAAATTAAAACTGAAATACTAATATTACAGGAGGAGTCATTTTAGATGCAAATAGAAACGAGCATGACAAATGACAATTTGCCTATTTGTCACACTTGAACAAATAAATGAGCAATGAGAGTTACCTAGAACCTTAAAATTTGGTAACTGAATACAATTTTTTCTCTCAGCCTGGAACGATACCTTTTTATCCACGTAGAAAGATTTAAAAAATGCGGCTTCATCGAAGGAGCTTGAAAATGAATTGCCGATTGAAAAAGAGAACTCGTACTTCTCCTCTTTGGCCACGCAGCGCGACATCTTCACCAGCTGTGAGGAGACTTCTGGGAGCTCCGGAAACCAGGTCTTGAGGGAGAACCCCGACTTACCCCATACACAATCGTGTATGAAAGTACAAAACTTGAAGTACGTTTCATTCGAAAATTGAGGATCGAAGTCGAGATCTTCTTCAGACTGCCTTTTCTTCACCTGAAATTACGTAATTATTAGTAGCTCAGAACAATTTACATGTTCAGTCCTAATCAAAATGCTGTATACAAGAGCATAAAGATAAAACCGCGAAAAAAAATTCGACGAAAGAAGCTCATAGCCCTTCGAGCGATTTTATTGGTTTATTACAGTATAATGGGATTTCTCGCAAGAGGTTGAGCTGCATCCAAGCATTAAAACATAAATTGTAGGCCTATAATGTCGCTGAAATCGGTATGCATACAAGATTATCGTATCACCAAATCAGTTTACAATTACATTTTTGCAAACAAAAGAATTTTTGTCGAGTAATCTGATTAAAAAATAGTGAAAATATTCTTGTTTTTAACAATTTAAACTTATTTCAATGAAATGTGACACAAAAAGTCAAGACTCAAGCATTACGTACGTGGGGGAGTGAACATACGAAGTTGAAAAAAGTATGAAAAGCTGTCACGCCTCCAAGCTTGAAATTATTGCCTTGGTCGAGCTTGGGCCGCCCATCAGGCACAGATCGACTACCCGTCAAACACTGCAACACTCGCCGCGGATTGAGGCATTCATCGAGAAGGTGAGCTAAAGGGCTTGAGCAATCCTGATACCTGGATAAAAATTTGAAAAAAAAGAATAATCTTCTAAAAAAAACCTACTCGCACCAATCCATATAATTAGGTATTAAAAGATTGCATCTTATGTAAATACAGAGAAAAGGGCCAATAATATTTGTAAAATATTATTGAGCTCCTCTAATGTATTGAATAATGTCAATTGTATATTTGTGTCAAAATGCCACCGAGGTACATTATTCTTCAAGTAAATTGCAACACGATCGATTGATGAAGACAATTCAAGCTACGTTGATGAGATAACCTTGTTATGTAAAGTATTAAGGGAGCCTCAATGATGGTAGAAATAGAGCTCACCGTTTTCGTAGAGCTGATTTTAAATTTTTACTAAGGTCTGCCACGTCATGAAGGTACTCTTCAGGCTCATAAAGCACCCACTCAACGCCATCCGACTTGCCGCGGCCGGGACTAGGCCGTGTGAGCCAGCCGTCCAGAAGCTCAAGATCAAAAAACTTTCGTTTGCCAAGTTCTTCCGCATGCTTTCGGGTGTGCGGAAACAAGTGACTGGGAAGGCGGGAGAGATCATCTAATTTGTGTAGCTGTTCGAGTTCGGCACTAATTCGGTCCAACCGTTCCAAGGTGTCTCGAATCCACAAAATAGAATTCCAGATGTACTGTTCGACGCGTTGGCAACGTTCCAATAGGTCTTTAATGGGCGTGAATATGTCCAACATCAGGACTAGTTCCACTGCAAAATCTTGACCACGAACTTTGAATTTGACAGCGTCTACAGGGCTTGCTGTCTCGCGGTTCTGGATGAATGCTCGAACAAGAGACTTGTAGCTCTTGTAGAGCGAATCAAGTACCGTGATTGAAGAGCTGAAAAACCTAAAATGGCCAGGAGTCAGTAAAGACCAACATTTAGTTCCGTATACTAAGATATTAAAATGATTATTTGTAGATATTGTGAGTTTTTCCTTACGAAATCTTTACCTATTGAATAAATTAAACTTTATCGACAATTTATTATTACGTATGGTCAGTTAGTGTATCGAAATTTATCAAAGTAATTTGTAATTGATGTACCTGACTTTACTGGTGGCAGTTCCAAAGTAATATCCCTCACAATTCCATAGTAATATCCTTAATGAGACAACAATTATACAGTAATTTCTTACCTTGTGGTTATTAGGCGAGTAGCCAAAGTGGCCTTCGAGTCCCCACTTATCGTACTTGCTTTGTATTCGGAGTAGCCACGTCCTGCAGCAAACATATCGGCAAATGAATTAGCATGATCCAAGAAACATTTAAAGAACTGTGAAGAGGAGGACTTGTCTCTGACTTCCTTGGCTGCAAGGTCTACGAAATGGGCCGAGTCCCAGAACACAGGCACTGCTAGATCGACGTCGCCTTTTTCTAATCCGCATCGCTGCTGCAGTGTTGCTCTGAATCCACGGGCTTGATATTGGCCGTCGGAGTGGTTTGCTGGTAAAAAATTCATCAGGAAAGAAGTAGAGCATAAAAAAATTAGCATGTCAACAACACCTTTAGATATTTCAACCAAAAAAACTTTTGCAATTTGAGAAGACTATTTTCTAAATGGAGAACATTGTCAGTGCGGAAGGACAAGCATCTTGGATTTCATGATTTAATAATAATAAAAATAATTTATTAGAAAATAAATTTAGATTCAGTACACAAAAAAGCTATTTCGGTATTATGCAAAAAAGGCTGAAAGGAGGGAACACAAAATTATAAAAAGCTTGAAATCTATGCAATAACCATTATTTAAACTTACTAAGCTACACTATATAAATACTGAAATAAAATAACAATACAAGAAAGTAAATGCATGCAAAGCATTGCTATATACGGGCTACTTGAGGCAAATTCAATGAGTAACAGTAGAGTTGACACTACACTTACTAGAGTAGACCATTAATCAACCTTCACGTTCTATAGTCAAATGGGGTAAGACAGGATCGCAGCCTTCATGGGGTAAGAGAGGACCGGCCCATGGCATGCATTTTAATTGCGCTGAATTTAATTTGACAAAAGAATATGTTAGAGCAATCATTGCCTGTCATTTCAGTGCTTGTTTCAACCCTCTTCTGCAAATAATGAATTTCTGGCTAATTTTCAAAGAAAACCTATGTAAAGAAGGGTCACAAAATAGTTAACCCTGTTTGGGAAATAAGCTCTGTCTAATGACAAAAAATTTTTTGGCCAGGTTTGTGGATGTAGGCAGGTAACCTCAAGTAATAAGCAACTTTTGAGACATACTAGGCATTCCTACCTGCTACCAACCTGTCTCTTATACACATCTAGATGTGTATAAGAGACAGGACACATATCATTCGATGCGTAAAGACCATATCTAAAAGTTGTGAAAGGCGTTTTTAGAAATTTTCATTTTTGTGGGTGTGGGTGCATTTTTCGTAATTTTTTCGGAAATTTTTCGATTTTACCCCCCCCCACACCCCCCTTTTTGCGGAATAAAATGCAAACTATAACGAAATTGCAAAAACGCCTACTGAACTTTCTAGATCTTTCCTTTGCAAATCGAACGGTATATTCTTCATTGATGTAGCTTCAAAACTCTAGGAGGAGATAGGTTTGCCGTGACAAAAAGTCAACTTTTCAGGACAGCGCGGCAAAGTCCCGCGCGCATAGCAATAGCCACTCAGTGTAGCAATGCTATGAAATTAAGAGTTACTGGAGCTCGATTCCAGTCAAGGATGGTGGGAGCAACTGCTAGCACACCACCCCGTAGGACGCCAGTCGGGCTACTGAAGCTCAGCTCTAGCAGACACACCATTTATGTGCTCGGGAGCTAATTTCCCCCAATCTAATTTGTTAGAGAACTATCCCAACCCCCTCCCTTTCATGATCTCTCGTGAACGCATGAATCAACGTACAGAGATGGTTTTGGTACCGTTGGATAGCTCAGAATGTCAGCTTTAAAATGGGTCTAAAAACCGAAAAAGTGAAAATTTTCAATTTTACCCCAGACGCTCCCCTTAATTCGTATCTTACAGCTGCTTCTTTGCTCCTCCTTCCTGCGGGATTTCCCTACACGTTACCCCAGTTCCCAAAAAAACCCTATCGACGGTGCAGCGTGCAGTGAATCTAAATGTGATAAAGTGAGTGTTGCGTTATCTCGACATACGCCACCTCAACTCTTTACAACTAAGACGTAAATTTGAATAATTAAGGTACAAATGTGTTGTAGGGAGTAGGGACACTGCATTTTAGCGAGCCGCGGACGAGTAGCGATATTTCCAAATCACTCAAATTACGGGGCTTTCGAGCCGCGAAATTTCATATTCACAGTAAAATTTTGAGCCGCGAAATTTTACGAAAAATTCCTTTCCTAGCGTAAAACATGCATTGTGGCTGCTATGTTCACACTTATGTAAATTGCTCACATATCAAGTATTTACAATTTATTAATTTTTGAATTACTTAACCTGAAAATATTTTATGAATGATTTTTTCTTAATTCTCAAAAAGTGATGGTGCAATTAGAATTACCCTATTAAAATAGTATTTTTAGTTACTCAATTTACTCGGATATATGAACTAAAATATATTATGTGATATATTATAGATGAATAAATCATATTATTCATTATTCATATATGCTCAATTTTACCCCAGACGCTCCCCTTAATTCGTATCTTACAGCTGCCTCTTTGCTCCTCCTTCCTGCGGGGTTTCCCTACACGTTACCCCAGTTCCCAAAAAAACCCTATCGACGATGCAGCGTGCAGTGAATCTAAATGTGATAAAGTGAGTGTTGCGTTATCTCGACATACGCCACCTCAACTCTTTACAACTAAGACGTAAATTTGATTAATTAAGGTACAAATGTGTTGTAGGGAGTAGGGACACTGCATTTTAGCGAGCCGCGGACGAGTAGCGAGATTTCCAAATCACTCAAATTACGGGGCTTTCGAGCAACGAAATTTCATATTCACAGTTAAATTTTGAGCCGCGAAATTTTACAAAAAAGTTGATTTCCTTTCCTAGCGTAAAACATGCATTGTGGCTGCTATGTTCACTTCAAAGACTGGCAACAGTGCCTCATAGCTGAGTGAATTTGACCAAAGGATTTGAAATCGCCAAAGAGAAATCATCTCTTTGGCGAAGCTTGGTGTTCCTGTACTTCCTGAAGAGTGAAGACCACTTACATAACATGGTGCAGGAATATTCATCATGTCAACTATTGTCAAGCAATATTGCTCACATATCAAAGTATTTAAAATTTATTAATTTTTGAATTACTTAATCTGAAAATATTTTATGAATGATTTTTTCTTAATTCTCAAAAAGTGATGGTGCAATTATAATTACCATATTAAAATAGTATTTTCAGTTACTCAATTTACTCGGATATATAGACTAAAATATATTATGTGATATATTATAGACGAATAAATCATATTATTCATTATTCGTATATGCGGATAATTTGTATTCGTGTTGAACGGAGCGAAATTTGACTAATCTGCTACATTTGATGATGCATTGGAGTTAATTCTTGAGTTGCAAGTTCAGACTATCACACATTAATACTAACAATTTTCAATTTTGATACATTTCAGAGCTGCTTTGCATGAATTTGTTTCTATTTTATAACGAAGCTTTATATCTCCAGAAATCCAAAAAGACTACCATAGAACTAAGCACCAGTGATGCAATGAGGCTTCAGAAAAGGAACCTGGCCAAACTGGAAGCTCTTTGTGAGTATTTTTCTATTACTTTATAGTGCAAGCCTCTTTAAAAATAATCATTTTCTTCCTCGTAACTTTTGAAGAATTGGACTTGGCATTTTGATATTTGAACCAAATTTTATCGCTTCTTCTGTTGTCAATGTTCAAACATTTTCAGGCTAGTTTTGCTTGTTGTTTTTAACTAGGAAGTCAAATTATGCAAACTTTAGTAAACCCACATGTTGAATTAACATGTTAAATTATCCCCAATTTGATTTTGATCTTAAGGGGAGCATCTGGGTGTTTATGTATCTCGGTTATTTACGGACGGATCACTTCGAAATTTGGATCATCCATGTAAAACAGAAATCTAAGACTTTTGTTTGTGTGATTTTTTCGAGAAAAGTGAAATAAATCGTGAAATTCTTAGAAAACTGCCAAAAAGGGGGTTCTGTAGAAATCTATCTCCTCCTAGAATTTTCAAGGTACGACATCGAGACACATATCATTCGATGCGTAATGTCTATATCTAAAAACTGATATTTGTGGTTTTTGCAATTTCTTATTCATATGGGTGTGATTGCATTTTTCGTAAATATTTCGAAAATTTTTCGATTTTCCCCCCGCTACCCCCCTCCCCCCTTTTTATAGAATAAAATCTAAACTATAACGAAATTATGAAAACGACCAAGACCACTTTGTAGATCTTTTCTTTTCAAATCTAATAGTTTATGTCTCATTGTTGTAGCTTTAAAACTGTACGAGAAAATATAGGTGTGTGTGTGTGTAGCACTCACACACACACATTGTGTGTGTGTGCTTGCCGTGATATAGGTTTTTCAGTTTTCAAGCTTTTCAGTAGAGGCGAAACGCCCACGCGCGCTATGTAAAGCATGTAACGTAGCTTAGATACCGAAAGTAAGCGTTATCTCACTTCAAAGTCAGTCAGCGGTGCATAGGATGACTACATGAACACCTTCCCGCATGATGGCTGAGTGGTAACTGAGCTACAGGTCCAGAGATAGCACATTTACTATAATAGTGCGTGGCCGCAAATATTCNGTCACACTCTCACTCCAGTCACACTCTCTCTCCAGTCACACTCTCACTCCAGTCACACTCTCACTCCAGTCACACTCTCACTCCAGTCACATTCTCACTCCATCTGTTGCTGATAACCACTGATGTTTCTGTTGCTGATAAAATTTCAAATTGATAGAATTTCGGGTGCAGCTATGTTGGAAGAGTCTTTCATCATTTATTCTGTACTGGTGAAGTGCCGACTTGCGGAGACCGAGTTTAAAGTCTCTATTCGGGTGTAAATGATAGTATAGTAATTGGAAGCAACATCTCAAATATTGTAGTGAGTTATTCGAAGAAAATATGAGCTATAGTTTTTAATTGCATGCGATGACAAAGTGACAGATTAGTGCTTGTCATCAATTCCCGTTTTAATCTAAACCCAATATGCAGGAGCCGGCACACAAGCGGCTTTGAAAAGGCCTCCACCAGTTTCGAGGACCTGGAGTGCTGCCTCATGCCGCACATTGGCATGCGT